TGTGATTGGTACTGCCTTACTTTTAGATTCTGTGGTCTGTGAGCCACTGTGTGTGATTTGTGGTCTGTGTGCCACTCTGTGTGTTCTGTTGTGGTCTGTGTGCCACTCTGTGTGTTCTGTTGTGGTCTGTGTGCCACTATTGCTTCTGTGTGAACATTATTCTTCCGCTGCATATATATAAACTGTTCACTTATATATATAAATATTAAAGGGTGGTATAACCTGGATTCTCGACCTCACTTGACCGGACCGCAAGTGCCCTGGAATCCTGTGAGGGAGGGTCTCCAAGATTGTCTATCCTTGTTGCATATGCACCTGTCCCAATTTTGGCCTATTGTGAAAAATTGGTCTAATATCTTGCTTTGTGCTGAAATTTGTATGGCTGCCATGTCTGTCTATTCTATGGCTCCTTTTGATGGTAAGGGTGATTTTTCTATTTGGAAACAGAAAATGAAAGGTGTGTTAATTCAACAAAGATGCTATGTGGCTATTGATGAATCTTACGCTGCTGAAACTACTGCTTCTAAGAAAATAGAACTTGATGAACTTGCTTACTCTGCCATTATTTTAAATCTTTCTGACTCTGTGATTAGAAAGGTAGGTATGCATGATTCTGCCAAAGGTCTGTGGGAAAAGTTAGATGAGTTGTACACTGAAACCTCTCTGCCCTCAAAATTGTTTTTACTCGAAAAGTTTTTTAGATTCAAATTGGATCTAACCAAAGATATTGATGAGAACATAGATCAGTTTACCAGATTAGTTCAGGATATTAAACTGACGGGAGACAAAAGTATTGATAACTATACTCCCATTGTTTTGTTAAATGCAATCCCTGATTCTTACAACGATTTGAAATTTGCTATTAAGTATGGCAGGGATAATATTTCTCTTGACACTGTCATAAACGGTTTAAAGAGTAAAGAACTGGATTTGAGAGTTAACAAAAGCAATAAGAGTTTTGGTGAGGTAAACTTTGTGAGAGGAAGGCAGCAAAACCGGTTTTCAAATAAGCTTTCCTCCAGTAACCAAAATGTTTCTCAAAATAGTTCTCATCAAAACAATTTTCAAAAGAAAAAGGGCAGGGGCAGGAGTAAGTCAAAAACTCGTGTTAACAGTCGTAAGTGCTATAATTGTGGTGAACCTGGTCATTATGCTCAGAACTGTACTAAGCCTAATAAGCACTCTAATGATCAGCATGCTAATCATGTTTCTGATAATAATCTTGGTGATGTGTTTATGGTTGGTGAACATGCTTGTGTGAATTCTGTGCTATCATCTCTTGGTGAAAATGATTGGCTTTTAGATTCTGCATGCTCACATCATATGACTCCTATGAAACATGTTTTCTCCCATTATGAATCATTGAATAATTGCAATGTGACTATGGCTGATGGCACAAAACGCCAAGTTCATGGAATTGGAACTGTTTGCTTAAAGTTTGAAACTGGTTATGTGTTAACTTTGCAAAATGTGCGGCATGTTCCTAATTTGAGTGAAAATCTGATTTCATGGGCTATCTTAGAAGATGATGGGTTTCATGGTGGTTGGGGAAATGGTTGCATGAAAATTATGAGGCCTTTTGGGGAAATCCAAGAGCAAAACCAGTTGGGCCCGGCCCAATCTGGATAATATCATACCAATGTGGAGTTCGTGCTATCCCGACGGGGCCCAACAGTGGTATCAGAGCAAACTCGTGTATGCAAATTATGAGGGGTAATCTTCTATGTTTTAAGGCCATGAGAATGCAAAATATGTATGTATGTCATTCTGAATCATCTGCTTCTGTGAATGCTGTCCAAAGTGATCATTCTATTCTGTGGCATAATAGACTAGGTCATATTAGTAATAAAGGCCTCAGCATTTTGCATAACAATCACTATTTTGGCAATGATAAAGTGTCTGAGGTTACTATGTGTGACTCTTGCATCGTTGGAAAGCAAACTCGTGTTTCTTTTCAACCAACCCCTTTCCCCAATCCCTCTAAAAGTTCTGATATTCTTGAGTATGTGCATGCTGATGTGTGGGGTCCTGCCAGTATTCCTACACATGGTGGGAACCGTTACTTTATGTCCATAATTGATGATTTTTCTCGTAAGGTGTTTGTCTTCCTGTTGAAACAAAAATCTGATGTTATTGATAAGTTCAAAACATGGAAAGTTTATATTGAGAACCAAACAGGAAAACGGATAAAAACCCTTAGGACAGATAACGGCACAGAATTTTGTAATCAAGAAATGGATGCTATGTGCTCTGAATCTGGTATTAAAAGGCACAAAACTGTTCCTTACTCCCCTCAGCAAAACGGAGTGGTTGAACGTATGAATCGAACTCTTTTAGAGAGGGTTCGAGCCATGCTCGCCACTTCGGGTTTACCCACTATGTTTTGGGGTGAGGCTGTTTTGACTGCCACCTATTTGATTAATAGGTCTCCCTCTGTGCCTTTAAATGGTGATTTGCCTGAATGTGTTTGGTCGGGTAAAAAGGTTGATTTGTCCAACTTACGTGTTTTTTGTTGTGTTGCATTCATGCATCATAAAAGTGATAAGCTTGAACCTCGTTCTGTGAAATGTGTTTTCTTGGGTTATCCTGAAGGGGTTAAAGGTTATAGACTTTGGGTTAAAGGGGAACATGGCTATAAAACTGCTATTAGTCGTGATGTGATTTTTAATGAATCTGTTTTTCCTTGCCTTGTTGTGCATAATGCTGTGAATTCAGA